TACATTTTTTTATAATTTTTTAATTAAATTAATTTTTAAGCATAAAAAGTATATCGTTCCAACCTTTTTATAATCGTTTTTCTGCTACTGTTGTCTTTAAAAAGGGACCCTCTCAAAAACCGTTATTTTTGTGCCTATACATCATTTAACATTTCCCAAAAACTATTTGAAGAAGCATTGCGACATTTGTATATTTTCTATTATCATTAAATAATTATTAATCCAGACATAGTATTTATACATGTATATAAATTGTTTTTGTGTTGCTTAGTAAGACCACCACCACAGATCTGCACTGCAAGCGTCAGCCGATCGCTCAGTTCATTTCAATTTCAGTCTCAACATTTTGCAATATTTTTTAATATAAAATCAATGAAGAAGCCACAAACGAAACTTGTAAAGCAGCAAACGCGCATACACACAGAAATACAGAAGCAAAAAAAGTACAAATTGAGTGGAAAAGAGCGGGTAATAATATTGATGATGAAAAAGTTGTAAATTCAAAACAATGGTGAGCAGAGATGAAGCCGCCAGCCAGCCATCCAAAGTCATCAATGCAGCAACAGCAGCAACTGACCAATAATCAGCGCACAACTACAACATGGTTGCTAAGTTATCGAGTGAGCAGGTCGAACGCATAGCAATATCATCTACTGCAGTTGATTTTAAATGTGGTTGCTGTTGTTGTTGCTGCTGCTGACGGCTTCTTTTTCTTGTTATTTCGATTTTGTAATTTGACCATGAATTTTTATTTCATGTTTTTCCCAGTTTTGACTTTTTTTCTACTTCTTGTTTTACACTTTTTTCACAACTTTATTGTTGTTTTTGTTTTTCGATTTAAGCAGCCGCTTAGTATGCGTTTTATAGAGGAAATTGCTATGCACACACMACACCACGTCCCAATTCTACGGTCGCCCATTAAAGAATGCAAAAATTTATAAATGCAGATGTATGTGTGTGTGTGTGGCTATATGTGTATTTGCAGAATTAATTATATKTAATTAAAAGCGACGCAGTGAAAACATGAAGTTCAACGGAAAAAAATCAAAATAATAACAATGCTAATTTCATATTGTGGACATAAGTATGTGTGTATGTATGCAAGTACTATATGTATGTATGCGATTATTTATAAATATGYATGTATGCATCATAAGACAAAATTCGCTTTGAGTCTAAATCATCTTCTGACCCAAATTAATAGCCTCCGCGAGACCTCCGCGTGTAACACTCAACACTCTTGCCCTACATGTG